CATTTTTAAGTAAATTTTTACAAAAGGGAAGGTTAGTTAAGGGTATCTTATAAAGTGTACTCCCCAAATAATAGTATAGGATACATACTCCAATCAAGTTTGCAGGCCAAGCAAATCATATAGCAATTAAGAAAGGCCAAGAAAATATTATAGAACATCATAAGATAAGAACTTTACCTGGATACCTTCCCATAGCTTCTCAAGCTTGCTACATGGCATTGCGAGTTCTATGAGATGTTCTGCGCAAAAGTTAGAAGGCAAATATTTCATGGGACAATTACTCCAAATGAGTTCAGTGAGTCCAGAGATATCCCCGATAAAGAAACAATCTTTGTCTTCTTCTATCGCAGTTCCGTTTAGATGGAGCTCTGAAATGTTCCTTGAAATCCGAGGGAAACTTCTCAAACTTGAGCATCCCCTGAGATCAAGGTACTCTAAAGATCCCAAGTAGACGTTGGTTGGAAGAAATTTTAGCTTTGTGCATCCTTGCATTTCCAACCGCGTCAATTTATTGAGATTCCGAATTGAAGAAGGAAGCATCACTAAACTTTTGCAATCGTTGAGTTCCAAGTGGTCAAGATTGATGGCTGTTGAAAGATCTGGAAATTCTTCCAGGTTCTCACTTCCTGACAAATCCATCCTCACGAGGCTTCCAAGCGACTGAAACAAAAGAAATTAAGAAAAACAAATAATGAGTTTTTTGCTTGTCCTATTTATTAAAAGTTACATCAATACTCATGCAGATAAGAAATCTCTAATATTTTTTATAGTCTAAATTTTAAGGATGTGAAATTTTTACTTTTAGTTCCCTAATATTAACTTGTCTTTTCTTGAAACCCACTCTAGCTGAATCATAATGTTAAGCTTTAACAATAGTTTCTAGTCTTTTTGTATGCATTCTTGATTATTTCATGTTGTAAATTATATATTTAGGAACATCAAGACGAGCTAGCACGTACACACTCTGTCAGACTTCTTTGGGAATCAAGCCAATCACCAATGCTATAGCTAAAAGAAAAAAAGACCGTTTATGAGAACGTTACATTACCTGGATTCCTTCCCATAACTTCTCAAGCTTACTACCTCTCATGGTGAGATAAACTAGATTTTCTGGGCGAAAGCCAGGAGATATTCCATTTCATTGTGCAACCATTCCAGTCGAGTTTGGTGAGCCCGGAGATATTCTCAAGGTAAAAAGAATCTTCTCCTTCTATTGCAGTACCATCTAAAATGAGCCCTGAAATGTTCCTCGAAATTCGAGGAAAACTTCTCAACCTTGAGCATCCACTGAGATTGAGGTAATCAAGACATCCCAAGTCGATATCAGTAGGCAGAACCTTGAGCTTTGTGCATTCCTCCATTGATAACTTCCTCAGTTTACTGAGTTTTTGAATTGAGGACGGAAGTGTCACCAAAGATGTGCATCCCCAAAGATTCAGTTTCTCGAGATTTATGGCATTAGAAAGATTTGGAATTTCTTTCAACTCCGTAGACCCATCCAATCTTATCTTCTTGAGACTTCGAAGTGGCTGAAACAACATGGCGAGAATTAGATGGTATACACATGTCACATAACTTTAAAATAAATCATACATGATATATGACTCTTTGAACCTTATGCCTTGTCGATATTCATAAATCAAACTGAATAGGAAGTAAACATAAAAGTAGTACCTGGACTCCTTCCCATAACTTTTCAAGCTTGCTATTCTCCATATTGAGCTTAACCAGAATTTCCGCCTTAAAGTTGAAGCGCATACTTGTCAACGGATATTCATCCCAGTATAGAAATCTGAGTTTCCGGGGCAAAGAAATGAAGCCTTGAGGTAAACACAATCTGCCTTCACTAGTCTCTCGCGACCACTCCTTGTAAAATTTTAGAAATGTGAGATTACGCATTCTTTTGAACGATTTTTCATTTATAAACAAAGACTCGTCGATTTCTGATGTGTTGAAAGATATGCCTAGCACATTTTCAGTTCCCTGAAAAAAAAAATAGTATTTTATAACAGTCACAATAATCTATCAAATAATAAATGACTTTCTTCAATTGATATGGAGTCAAACATGAAAAGCATATGTAAAAAACTCACAGTATTTTCGGTAAATACATCACAAATATCCTTAGTATCCACCAAGAATCGCCGTTTTCCAGGATTGTAAATGGACTCTACACGAACAATTTCTTTACCCAACTTTTGTAGTAAGTTGTGCATGTGTACAGTTTTGCGAGGTGGTGTTATGCGTATGAGGGACTTATCAGCCAACATTTTAATCCCAACGTATACACTATCTCCAAGCAAGTTCTTGATATAATCAACTTTTTGACCATTAAGTAAACACGCAATGTAAAGGAAAACTTCCTGATCTTTGTCATCTAACTCATCGTAGCTGACTCTTAATGTCTTCTCAATTTTCCCATCCAGACCATTTCGGAGCCTAGGCAACAACTCCATCCATTCCTTCTTGTCCTTTCCTCTTAATGAAGAACCCAAGACATTGAGACCTAAAGGAAGATTACCGGCAAGGTTTGCAACTTCGCGAGCTAACTTCACGAAACCATCAGGTGGAGCGTTTTGCCCAAAAGCACATCGACAAAACATTTGCAGAGCCAAAATTTCAGATGGGAAATCCACCTCATAAACAAGGTCAATCTTATGAGACTTGAGAAGTTGTTTATCTTTAGTTATCACAACAATTCTGCTTCCAATCCCAAACCATCCAGGTCGTCCCACCAAGGTCTTTAATAGCTCTAGATCATCCACGTCCTCAAGAACGATGAGAACTTTCTTATGCCTTAGCCTTTGTTCCACCGCACCTAAATGCAAAACCTTTATGTCCTTTTGGCATAAAATTTCTGATAAAAACTGTTCTTCCCAACAAAGTTTCATGCCATAATCGTCTCCAGTGGCGGATCTAGAAACAAGTTTTATAGGGGTCATTTGGAAGTTAGAACAAAAATTTATAGGGGTCAAACAGTAATTTTAACCAAATATTTTCTTAAATTCTATCAAATTTACACTAAAAATAACTAATGTATAAAATTTATAGGGGTCATGTGACCCCACTAACCCCTTCTTACCTACTCCACTGATCGTCTCCGTTGGTTCTTTTATAAGCTACAAAAGCGCGATGGTGGAATTGGCTAGAGAGTTGGCTGAAAAGAGCTCTTCCTACGATACTCTTACCAATCCCCGAAGGTCCTACAATCCCTACCATTCTAGCTTCTTCAGATTCCAAGCACAATATTGAACTCAATCTCTCTAAATGAGCTTCAACACCAACGAAATCACCAAAATCACAAGATGATGTTATGAGCTTATTCGAAACATCGTTGGCAATTGTTTCAATCATGTTTGCTTCATCACACCTGAAAATCAATACTCAAATGTCAACAAGGAACAAGTCTAAACCCTAATCAAACAAAAATTTGAAAAAATACCAGTTTCGAGAATCCTCTCCAGCCAGATTTGCCACATCTGCTAGAGCTTGCATCCACCTTTGTTTCTCATCATCTGTTTTGCCCACACATGTCTCTTCAAAGACCTTTCCAAATTCACCACTCTGTTTTCTAACTTCCGAAGGATCAACGTTGTAGAAAATCGGAATCACCATTTGATCCAATTTCTTAGAACAGTCGTGGATCTCAACCAATTCATTCAAGCACCAGGTGGAAGAAGCATACTTATTAGAGAAGACGACGATTGCGATCCTCGATTCTCTAATCGCCGATAAAAGCTCCGGGGCGATTGGGCGGCTTCTCACGATCCCATGGTCGATGAATGTATTGACTGATCTGTGATCAAGCTCCTTGAGAAGATGGCTGAGGAATGATTTGCGGACATCTTCACCGCTGAAGCACGGGAAAACGTCGTATCTCCTGCTGCTTGAAGAAGAAGAAGCCATAGAGAAAAGATACTAAAATTCAAATTCTGTTGGGAGATCATTCAAAACACTGAGGTAAATAAGTAATATGAAGATGGAGGTAGAGGAGAATCTTCGTAAAAGTTACTCTCAAGACTTGAGAGAAGACTTTTACTTTATTGTGCACATTGTTTCATGGTTGTTTCCTCTCACAAAAACCCTTTTATTGTTTTCCTATAGTTTGTTACCTTTTTCACTTCCCTAATTACTTGATACTTCAGTTACAATAATTTATTTATTTTTCTCTTAAATTTTGACGAAAGTTCTACGTAATTCAATAAAATCAACTCAAAAATGAAGTATTTGGAAAAGAGATCTTTTATAGCTGAAACAATTAAAGTAAGGATTGTTTTCATTTCTGTATTTTTTTTCCCCTCGTTTACGCACCTTAATTAAGGGAATCATTAAAACTTAAAAGGATGGGGTGGGACTCAAAATTCAAAAGTATATGATCATTAATGTGTTGTATCGGATGCCGCCACTTTATATTTTTCTTACATTAATAAAGAATACTCCGGCCATTTGTCGCGGCGACAAAGTAATGTGTTTTAATTTGTCGTAGACGTAGGAGCTTAGGATGAGACTTGATGGTTTGGAATTGGAGTTGACTCTTGCAGAAAGTTTTAAAAGCTCTTTCCTTGCATGACACGGCATAGGCTCTCTCCTCTTTTCACCACCTGAAGGATTGTTCCTTAGACTGGTCACATCTTTGGCCAAAGTTAAGCCAAACTTTTGTGCCCCTTTGGTTATTGAATCAGCGAGGCAAATATTGCTGATAAGTGATGACGAAGGTCTTGCTTTTTAAAATTAGTTCCAACACTTTGTTTGTTGTTGTTATATCTCTTGTGAATCTGTGAGATACATTTTTGTTTACCCAAATTGATTCTTTTGCTGAAAAATTGGTTTTATTCGGATAGAGTTTTCAGCTTTGCAATACGCATTGTCTTGTCTTGTCTGTGTTGTATGGATTCTCTGTGTAGCTAAAACGTTTTGTGCTTTCACTATTACACAGGTCTCATACAAGACACAGTCTCTAAAACCTTAATATCAACTCAGTTTTGAGTTGTTCCAACAGCGGTTGAAGCTTAAGGAGGTTCTTATGTGCCCTTTGAAATCATGATTGAGGTAAAGTGACCTGGTTCTTCCACGCGGATCACCACTACACTTCTTGATTCCTTCATGATTCTCTTCAGAAACAAACACATCTTAATCCCAGTCTTTGCCTTGATAGCGATCCCTTTCACAGCCTTACACCTCTCCCTAACTCTCACCTCCTTTCGCCTTAAAAACCATGTCTTTCGTCTAGAAGCCCTGGCTAACGTCGTGTATACACGGTTTGAAGCTAGACAGATCTGGCAAGAGTCTAGAGAAGATGCTGTCTCGCTTTTACATCTCAAGTCCCGGTATTTTGTCCCATCCTTTATCCTCTCTTGTATCGCCTCCATAACCGTCATCACATCAACTTCCTTCTCACACCAAGGCCTAAACCCATCTCTAAAGTCGTCATTTGCTTCAGGGAAGTCCTCGTGGATGCAAGTGACAGCAACTTCTATCATCGTCTATGGTCTGCTCTTCCTCTACTCACCAATTCCCATGTTTCTATCAGCTCTTGTTGGTTACACACCCACATTGCGTTATCTCATCACGATCTTATGTCTCGGTATTGAGGTATACATAATGGCTATAACAGGGCTTGGCCTTGTCGTCTCGGTATTGGAAGAAAGATACGGTTTTGATGCGATCAAGGAAGGAACCGCCCTGATGAAAGGGAGGAGGATAACAGGGTTGGCTTTGGCGGGTGTATTTGTGTTTCTATCGAGTTTCATTGGTCATGGGATGGAGAAGTTGGCGAAGGAGCTAGATATGGACTGGAGCTCAGGGTCGTGGTGGAGGTCAGTGGTTGTGGCCGGTGGATGGGACGGGTGGAAGCTGGTTTGTATGTATGGGGCTGAGGTGGTGCTGACTTATGTAGTAATCACCGTTTTTTACTGTGAGTGTAGGAAACGCAATGGTAGCAGCGATGCAATTGTTGCTGATGAGGAAGGTCTTGCTATTAAAAATTAGTTCCAACACTTTTTTGTTGTTGATAATTAATTCTCTTGTGAAATTGTGAAATACATTTTTGTTTACCAAAATTATGATTTATTCATTGCTTTAAAGAGAGAATAAATAACCTTTGGTAACATACACGTAGAGAGATATATGTGTTTCAAAAGACAAGACTGTTATATTTACATCTTTTCAGGAAAGCGAAACTTTCAAAGAAGTAAAACAGAGAGAAATGGAGCCATAAAAAGGTTTCTAGTTGCTCCATCATCTGCAAGAGAAAATGGCTTGTGTGAAAAACTAAGAAATCGTCTTGTCATTACCAGTATAGTCATGGTCGATCCCATGTTCGTTACAAAACAGAGTTGTAATATGTTTCAGACTACCTTAACAATGTGATAAGCTTTGGAGACGGCTAAGGATCCAGGAGAGGAATCTTAACAATGTGATGGTGTGAATTCAGTCAAGGCAGATCTTAACTGTTCAGGGTCAGCAGTGAAAGGTGTCGTCCCCATCATGAGGTATAACAGAGTAACTCTCGTAGACCACACGTCTAGTTAGGCCTTTGGTGCAAAGATCTGAAGCCCCAGAGAATTAGCATCCCATCCTAGATGTTCTAATGAGTAGTTTAGGCCTACAACTTTCATCTCAAGGAGTCAAGGTACAATATTTATATAATAACTAGTAACTCGGAAGCTAAATTAAACCAAAAAAAAAAAAAAAAAACTCGGAAGCTAAAATCCACTTTCACTCTTTACCATATAATTAAAGAGTGCAGCGGCATTGGGGTCAGCTTTCCCTGGAACAGCAGCGACATGTTTCTCATATGTAGGATAGCTGGATAATATACTTCATGGTTGGACCAGACGATGTCTCGTGCAGAAAGTTTGAAAGCTCGTCCCTTCACCTCAAGGACGCTGGTCACATCTTTGGCCGAAGTTAAGCCAAACGGACTTTGGTTCTCCAAAAGCTCTTCCCATCTGCAGAAAAAAATGGCTCGTGTCAAAACCTATGAAATCTCGACTTGTAATTATCATTATAGTCATGGTCGATCCCAAGTTATCCTAAAACAGAGCAAAACAGAATAATAAGATGCTTCAGTTACCAGAAACAGGATCCAAGATAGGAATTTGTTCAGCTTGTTCTTCAGTTATCATGTAATCAATACACAAAGCTTCCCCCTCCAGAGATGGATAGGAAGAAACTGATGATGCTTCTCCCTCCCCTAAAGGAACCTCCATATTTAGAGCGGCTAATCCTGTGTCCGCTACAATTTGGTCACCGGCTAAGTTGATATAGTCTTCAGATGTTCCCGATGTCATCTGCATTATAAATCAAACGATCGATTCTATTAAATATTCTGTCGCTATGGTATTTCGATCCTGGAAAAACAAATCAAAAGTCAAAAGATAGCTTTATAATTTTCAGCTCTAATTATGGCAAAAGGCTTACCCGCATCAGCATCGCTACAACATCACATTTTTCTCCAGACCGTTGGTTGTACTCTGTTTCAGAGCTTCCATCACTACCATCTGGAGATGGATAGACATTCAAGAGTTGTACACCGCATTCTTTTATCCTATTGGAGCAACAAAACTTAAACTCCACATCGTTGAGAGTCGATTTAGATGGAAGATCTTCAGGGTCGAACTTGAAGGAACAGAAAAACAGATGATCCGTCTTACAAAACTGCAGTTCTGCTTCTTCAAAAAATGATTTCTGATACTGTGCGCCATTGAAGCCAACGTTTACCTCCAAGGATGGATACCAACCCTTGCCTTCAGAGAGAGGGTCAACCACGACGCAAGCCTTAAATCGCAAGAAGTATTGAGAGAGAGAGCTCTGAGGTAAAGTGACAGTTAGGGAATCTCCAGAATCTCGATGTTGGAAATACTTAGGGATTTCTCCACCTGGTAAGGCCACAGGCTTGAAGCATGATCGTAGGATGAGTTCTCGGGCATCTCTTTCCAATTCGAAGCAATTACGGAAGCTAAAATATTCCCTATCTAAGTCCCAATCTACCTCTAAGTAATCATCATCAGAGTCATCATCATAGAACTCATCCCAGAAACGTTCACATGTATATTCAATGTTTTCATGTAATGGTACACAGGAAATGTGATCTTCCATTGTCGCTACCACAGTGGCATCACTCAACGCCATGATGACACCTCTACAGTCTGTAAAGTCGACGAGCATTAGACTTGTCAGTCTGAAAATGTTTGGGGAGATGTTTTTCAAACTCTGGCAACAATACATCATTAGTACAGTGAGCCTCGAGAACTTCTCAATGCAGCATGGAACTTCTTCAATGGCGGTGTTTTCTAGATAGAGACATTCCATTCTAGTTGAAATCAGAGGAAAACTTCTCAAACTTGAGCAACCACTGAGATCGAGGATTTCGAGAGATGACAAGTTGACATCGGTTGGAAGAACCTCCAGCATTGTGCATCCTTTCATGTACAAACATCTTAAATTTTGGAGATTCTCAATTGTAGAAGGAAGTGTCACCAAACTTTTGCACCCGCTGAGATAAAAACGCTCCAGATTGGTGGCCTTTGAAAGATCTGGAATTTCTGTCAGGTTTTCACATTCTGACAGATCCATCTCCTCGAGACTTCCAAGCGACTGAAACAGAAATTAGCAAAAAAAAAAAAAAACATTGGTATGCTTCGATCATTATCAATGATATATAAACATTTTAATTTTATACCTATATATGTTTCAAATTATAATGAAACATTATTATGTATGTAAGAATAAACCGTGGATCACAAGCCATTTTTGACAATTTTGGTTATACTTAATTAGTTATATAACAGAGGGTAAAAAACAATCATGAAATCGCTATAATATTAACAATGTACCTGGACGCCTTCCCATAGCTTCTCAAGCTTGTTGCCTCTCACATCGAGCCTAACCAGATATTCAGGGCGAAATTTACAAGGCATACATGTCTTAAGGCAGTCGAGATAATCGAGTCCAGGGAGATACTTGTTCCAGAAACAATTTTCTACCACGATCTCAATTCTTTTAAATCGCCGAAAGTCTGGATTTCCCATTTTGATTGCAGGGAAATTTCTCAAATTATCGCATTCAGTGAGATCGAGGTACTGCAGATATTCCAAGTTGAGATGAGTTGGAAAACTCTCTAGCTTTGTGCAACGCCTCATATCTAACTTCCTCAGCTTAATGGCATTCTGAATCGAGGAAGGAAGTGTCACCAAAGATTCGCATCTAGCAAGATCTAATTCCTCGAGGTTGATGGCATTAGAAAGATCTGGAATTTCTTTCAAATTGTAGGAAGCATACAGAATCATCTTCTTGAGGCTTCCAAGTGGCTGAAAACAAAAAAGGGGAAAAGAGGGTATACACGTTCATAAACATTTTAAACTTATGTTTGAAAATTGACCACTAATAGAATTAGTACCTGATTTCCTTCCCACAGCTTCTCAAGCTTACTATACTTCATTCTGAGTTCAACCAGATACTCAACCTTAAAATTAGAAGGCAAACACTTCAATGGAAAATAATCCCATTCTAGCAATCTGAGTTTATGAGGGAAATAAATGAGGCCATGAGGTAGATCCATATTTGGCCGACCAACAACTGATAGATATTGGAGATTACGCATGCCTTCTAATGATTTTATATCTATTAATAGCTCATTCGAACAATCTAACTTCCTCAGTTTAATGGCATTCTGAATCGAGGAAGGAAGTATCACCAAAGATGAGCATCCACGAAGATCTAATTCCTCGAGGTTGATGGCATTAGAAAGATCTGGAATTTCTTTCAAATATTTTGAAAACCACAAATTCATCTTCTTGAGGCTTCCAAGTGGCTGAAAACAAAATATGGAAATAGAGAATACACACGTTCACAAATATTTTTTAAAAAGATTCATTTTAAGCTTTTCTAACATATATATGTTAATAAATATACCACAGTTCTGTTCGACAAACTGATAACTAACAAGATTTAGACTTCGTACCTGAGTTCCTTCCCACAGCTTCTCAAGCTGACTATACATCATTTTGAGTTCAACAAGATACTTAGCCTTAAAAGTAGAAGGCAAACACTGCAATGGAAAATAATCCCATTCTAGCAATCTGAGTTTATGGGGCAAACTAACGAAACCCCGAGGTAGTGTTATATCATACCCAAAACGAACTGATAGATATTGGAGATTATGCATGCCTTCGAATGCTTTTTCATCTATTGATAATAATCGCTTTTTCCAGAAATCTGACTCGAGACGTATTCCGAGAACTGTTTCTGTGCCCTGAAAAAATTCAAAGAAAACTATAATCTTAACAACCGCAACAAATTTTATTTTTCTGACATCAAAAGAGCCACGCTTTAATTAAGCAGGAGGCAAAAATTGTTAAAGTTTATCAATACCCATATGACGACTATATTAATATAGAGTCATGCATTAAAAGGCAGCTGGTAAAGACTTACAGTTTTCTCGGTAAGTACTTCTTCAATATCCTCAAAATCCGTCAAAAATCGACGTTTTCCAAGATTACCATTGGACTTTGCACGATCAATTTCTATACCCAACTTCTCTAGCAAATTGTGCATCTCTATATATCCTTCGGGTGTAATACGTATGAGGGACTTATTAGCCAACGTTGTAAGCCGAGCATTATCTTTAAGTAAATTATTGACGTAACTGACTTCAAAACCATTGAATAAACACGCAATGTAAAGGAACATATCTTGATCTTTTTCATGTAATCTATCGTAGCTGACTCTTAATGTTTTTATAATATCTCCGTTCAAACCATTTTGGAGCTCAAGCAACAAATCCATCCACTCATCTTTTTCCCTTCTTCTTAATGACGAACCCAAGACACTGAGGCCCAAAGGAAGATTGCCCGCAAGCTTTGCAACTTTCACTGCGAGCTCCCGAAAATCATCAGGTGGAGTGTTTTCCCCAAAAGCAGATCGGCATAACATCGTAAGAGCAAGACCTTGAGATGGGAGCTTCACCTCATATATAAGGTTAATATCATGAGCCTTGAGAAGTTGCCTATCTTGAGTGATCACAATAATTATGCTTCCAGGTCCAAACCATTCAGTTTTTCCCACCAAGGTTTTAAGAAACTCTAGATCATTCACATCATCAAGAA